GAGCAGCTCGGGCAGTGCAGATAGCGGAGGCGAGCAATTTGGCACTACGACGGGTGAGACGATTCACCAGCATCAGTCCGACCTGAGGTCAATGTGACGTACCGGTGTACTCGTGCTTGGACACGTCGATGATCATGGAGAACTCTCGCTCGGGGTCGGAAGGGTCGAGGAGAGTGAACCGCATGAGCAGCTCGTCGGCTACGAAAGTCAGCGTGGCTGTATTGCTGTACCGATGTCACAATTGTAATGAGACGGGCTTCAGCTGACCTTTGACCCCCTCGATCCTCAGCCCCAAGACCTCTTGCAGTATCTGCAGCTCGATGGCGTCCCTGCCTCTCTGCTGTTCCAATACCTTGCCCTGCCTCTCCTTCTCCCCCCGCTCGGCCTTGACCTCCTTTCGCACGGCGTTGAGTTCCGCCTCGACCGCTGCAGACTGCTCTTTCGTCTTGGACAGGGTCTGCTGCAGGCGTGCGAGCGAGGAGGAGAGATCTCCTACGGTGTGTCGTTCCTGTTCGAGTGCTAACCCTTGTTCAGCACGATACGGCGGAGGATGAGATAACAATCCCCAATCCCATCTCTAATCCATTAACGAGACTCACTTGCAAGCATTACCGCCTCGCGCTCCCTCTCCAACGTGATCCGACGCTCGACCTCCTCCTTCTCCGCCTTCATGTCCCGCACCATATCGACGTGCTCAGACGCCCTCCTCGCGATCTCCGTCTTGGCGTCCATGGTGTACTGGTCGATCGCATTGAGGAACGCCTCGACGTGCGCGTGGAAGGGCTCCCACTCGAGGTCGATCGTGGGCACCGTGCCCGCCGACGAGCTCGCGTCGAGCACGGCATGCAGGGAGATCGGTCGCGGCGGGGCGAGGTAGGCTGCTGGCATGGTGTGGAAGATGCAGGGGGGATGGGGACGGTGTGTATTGGTCAGAGTGAGGGAGGAGTTGGCGAGTGATTTTGTAGCGTTGCGTTTGCTTTGTTTGGCTCGCGACGCGGCGAGGTGGCGAGTGGTGGACAAGGATACTTACGTCAGCTCTGAACTGGGATAAATACGTAAAATCAAAGCTTGGTTTGTAATATATTGGTAACTGTTGTATTATATTTCTAATCTGAATTCAATAGGCAATCCCTAATCTTGTGGCTTGAAATACAAGTCACGATTACGGTTCAAGAGTAATGCCTGATTAGGTAATTTGTAATCCTCTGTCCAAAGTCAGGCGCGCTTGCCCCGCGGCTGGCTGTCACTCAACCAACCGGCGGGGGACAGAGGGACACAACAACATCACATTGGCATAACAGAGGCGTCCATCCCACATCTCTTTCTCCTTTCCATCTCGCCTCACACCACCGCTCCCTTCGCAGCGTCGGCGCGATCGACGCAGCTCCTCTACCATCCCATTCTGCTACTGTCCAACATCACCCCGCCGCCATGTTCTCCCGCGTTCTCAAGTCGGCGACGCAGCAGTCGTCTCCCGCCCCCTCCTCGCAGCCTCCCACCACCCCCTCCAAGTCCCGCACCCAGCACACCAAAGCCCAGTCGACGACCAACGCCCACCCTTCCCCATCCAAGATCCCCGTGCCATCGGCGCCGGTGTCCCGCTCGGCGTTCGTCACCGGTGGCGGAGGCGGCGGAGCAAAGGAGAACCAGCCCGCCCCGCCCCCTTCGCCCTCCCACCATTCCGAGCGCGCGAGCTACTTGTCCTTCCTGTGGAACCAGTCCCAGTCTGGCGCTCCTACTACCCCGGTCAAGGTCAACCCAAAGGTCACTCAACCGACCGTGCCTCACCACCAACACCAGCATCATCAACATCAGCACCACGGCCAAGCGGCGGCCTCCGCACCAGGACCGAACCACCACGTGTATGACCCTAGACAGTCCGCCTACCCCCACCAAGCCCACTATGAATCCGAGGACGTCCACATGCAGACGATGAAGAATACTGTCAACCCGGCGATGCTCAAGTCTCTCGCCGCCATCCCAGCCCCAGCACCGGTTGCAGCGCCAGCCCAGCACAAGCACCCACACGCTCAAGTCCAGCAGCTCGTTCCCCAGCGCAGCCAGGCCGCCCACGCGCACATCTACGGAGGGAGCGAGGACGTCTACATGAAGACTGCAAAGCATGATGTGCGGACGGAGAAGGAGAAGGGCCTGCAGCTCTGGGAGAGGGAACTGCTTGACTCTCAGGAGGTCAAGCGCAAGGCGACGGTCGCGCAGATATTCTTCCTCGACTACTACTGTGAGTTCCGAGTCCAGTCGTTGCGACTTTGTGACCCTTCTTTTGACCAAGCTGACCTACCTCTCTAGTCGACCTCCTCGGCTACATCGCCGCGCGAAAGAAGCGTCTCGAAAACTTCAAGAATGACACGGCGGAGCGAGGCGTACGTCCCTCACCCACTCCTTCCTGGGGATTGTCGGCGCTGATCCGTCCTAGGTCTCTGGCCCTGACTACAGCCGCGAGCTCCAGTCGTACAACGGCCGCGAACGCGTCATCCTCCGCAAGCGCCGTACCAAGCTCCGCGTCGAGCAGTTCCGCATCATCGCGCAGGTCGGCCAGGGTGGTTACGGCTCCGTCTACCTCGCCCGCAAGGCGGATACCAACGAGGTGTGCGCGCTCAAAAAGATGCGAAAGGGGACGCTCGCCAAGATGGACGAGGTCAAGCATGTGTTGGTGGAGAGGGATATCCTCACGAACGTCAAGACGCCGTGGCTGGTCAAGCTGCTGTATGCCTTCCAGGACAAGGAGCATGTGTATCTCGCAATGGTGAGTGGGACTGGACGAGCAACCGGAAAGGGGTTGTGAGGCGTCTCGGCCGCCTGGGCTGATTGGCAACAGGAATATGTCCCCGGCGGAGACTTCCGAACCCTGCTCAACAACTCTGGCGTCCTCAAGGAAGAGCACGCGCGGTTCTACGCCGCCGAGATGTTCGCCAGTCTCAACGAGCTGCACAAGCTCGGCTACATCCACCGAGACCTCAAACCGGAGGTGAGCGAGGCGACAAGGGAGACACCAGCCAGGGTCACCTCCTTTCGATCCAGTGGATTCTGACCGCTTCGTAGAACTTCCTTGTCGATGGTACTGGCCACGTCAAGCTCACCGACTTCGGTCTTGCAACGGGTGCGCTCAATCCGCAGCGCATCGAGTCGATGAAGCACAAGGCGAGTGGAGCTCGACGGGCGATGCACCCAGATCCTCGCTGACATCTCCACAGCTCGACCAGGTCAAGGACGAGAACCTCGTGTTCAGGAGTACGCTCGAGAGAAGGACGCTTTACCGCAGCATGCGCATGGCGGAGCCGCGATACGTGAGTCGTCAACGGCCGCGCAGAGATCAGAGCTGACGTTGTAGGCCGACTCGGTCGTCGGTTCGCCAGACTAGTGAGAGATGCGAGATCTTAAGGCAGAGTGGTCAAACTCACGTTTGCAGTATGCCACCAGAGGTCCTCCGCGGCAAGACCTACACGTACTCGGCAGACTACTGGTCCCTCGGCTGCATCCTATTCGAGTTCCTCTGCGTGAGTGGCGCGGCGCAATGCTGCATCAACCGGAGATCGATTCATCTGCGCTGACGCGTTCGTGTAGGGCTTCCCGCCTTTCTCCGGTTCCACGCCCGAGGAGACCTGGGCGAACCTCAAGAACTGGACCAAAGTGCTCCGGCGGCCCGTGTATGACCGACCTGAGGACCTGATCTTCAACCTGACCGACACGGCATGGGACGCGGTGACCCGGTGGGTACCGTAGCTCTCTGTCCTGACTTCAATCTCAACCGCTTCTCGGCCGACCGGTCTGCTCAGAGCTGACTGTTGTGATCCGCTGCAGACTCATCGCCCACCCCAAGGACCGCGTGGCGACATTGCAGGACGTCCAGGCCCTCCCATTCTTCTCGCCCCTGCCCTTCGGCACCCTCCGCCAGCGCGAAGCCCCCTTCGTCCCCGTCCTCGACGGCGAGACGGACGTGGGGTACTTTGACTCGTTCGAGAGCCCCGAGGACATGGCGAAGTACGCAGAGGTGTTCAAGAAGCAGAGAGATGTCGAGGCGGTCGAGGAGAAGGGTCAGGGCAAGAGGGATAACTGGGTTGGATTTACGTTTGGAAGGAACGCGGTGAGTGTGCCAATCTGTCTGACTATTCGACTTGGTCATCCGATCCAGTCAGAAACTCGATCTCCTGCTAGAAACCCCTGCTCCTTGCTCCCCGGCAGAGCGGAACGAGACCGAGACCGAGACCTCCCCGCTGACCCGCTCAGGTCCAGCAGGTGCAACCTCAGCCGAGGATCAAGGCCGAGGGCGAGGCTTTGCAGACCATGTTCTGAGTGGGCGTCGCGACTTGGATCGACCCAGCGTGTTACGATCCGCGAGTCCCCGAATCCTGAACCCCAAGTGCACTTGGTCTGCGTGGCTGTCTTCGACTCCTTATCATCTCTTCGTCTCCTGCTCTTCGCCATTTGCTGTTCAATAGCATATATACCCATATTCCGCTTCCCTGAGTAGGACAATGCCTGCTTGTGATGTACCTGGTGGTTCTGTGCACGTCGGGGCGGACTCGACTTGACTCGAGCACTGACAGACGGTGGGAATCGGTGCATCGGTGGATCGATTGATACTGAAACGGAACGAACGTCCCTTCTTTGCGGACGTCGTGACTTGATGGGAGTGGTACTTCTGCATTCGGGCTTTGCTTAGTCTTCTTGGTCTACAATCTTCCTGTACTGGTACTTGCTACACTAGGGAACCGCCGGACACAGGGCCCCTCCTTCCCTGCTTGATCTCCAAGTCCAAGTGCGAGACAACGCCTGGTCCCACTCTTCGCTTGCCACCGATTTGACGTCGCCCATCGCTTTCGCTTCCCTTGTATTCCTCCCTCCTCCCTCTTCACTCGTAAGTCATGCGCATCTCGCACCCGCAGCCCCGGGCAAACCCTCCCACCTGATCCGTGGGCCAACTCCTCCTCCCCATCCCTACCGTCCCCAGGTCACGCGCCGCGCGCCGCGCGCCGCACGCCTCACGACTCCCCGTCGTACTCTATATCCCCATCAAAGTTCACCCTCCCCTTACGTATGACCTCGCCCTTGGCACGGAGCAGGTCCTCTACCGTGCGGTGTTTCCCGTCCTCTGTGGATTCCTAGGGTTGGGGGTCAGCGACGAACGAGATTAGGGAGGCGGAGGAAGGAAGGGACAAAGGGAGAGGAGAGGTGTAGAGGTGAAGCGGTTGAGAGGAGAGCCACTGCACTGGTGCAGGGTGAAAAGTTGAAGGCGTAGACTGATGAAGAGGCGAAGACGAGGTGGGGGGTGATGATCCAGAGATGTGGTCTGGCGCAGAAACGAAGCCACGGGGTGGCGGCAGAGTGTGGGCCGCGATGCCCTGTAGAAAGACTCGGCGATGGTGTGGGTGTAGTGTGGTTCGAGAAGGCAGGGGAGGAGATGCGTGGGGCCGAGTAGCTTGTGCACAAATGACGCAAATGCGCAAGTGACACGTCGGACCCACCTTGAACCACCCGATATGGTCCGCGATGAGGTGCCTGCAGCGAGGAATGTTAGCGGTGCTCCGGGGATATTCGATCAAGTACGACTAGATGACATTGCCTCTCGATCCGGCAGAGAGGAGGACGATTGCCATGGATCCCCAGTCTCCGATGCGCTTCCCAGTGCGCGCCTAGACCCCCTCCAGTCTCCTCCCAGCTCCTTCCCCGTCCCCGTCTCCAGTCCTTATCCCAATTCCCACCCAGTCCTCGTCCCAGTCCCATCCCAGCCCTCCTCCAGTCCTCTTCCCCCTCTCCAGTCCCCATGCCATTGCCCCTGCTCGTGCCCTCCAAGTCCTCCGCAGTCTCGTCCTCATCCCGCCCACCCGCCCCCGCCCGCCCTTGTCACTCACCTCGACTTGCACTCCGGACACTGGACCAACACGATCCCCTTCTCATACGACCGTTTCGCAAACTCGTGGGTCGATCGATGGCCGCAGTCGTTGGCTGTGCACGTGAACGTGAGGGATCTGCGGGGGGTCAGTGGGTATGTCGAATGGGTTTATTGTGGGATCGTCATGGGTCGAAGGACGATGATCGGGAGTTATAAATGATGCGCATGTGCGCGTATGCGCGCGAATGACTACGGCGATGATAACCCAACGGGGACGAGAACGGGGGCGAGAGAGGGGGCGAGAGCGGGCGAGAGAGGGGCGAGGGAGGGGACGTTGACGGTGCGAGAGAGGTGGGGAGGACTTCTCGTCTCGAGAGACACATCGTTCGGGGCTGGCGACGAGCGTCGAGCTCGATTCGTGCGAGTCACGGTGTGCGTGACCCTGCCCATGTCGAGTGAGCGTGGGGGTGGGTCGTGGTGGTATTGTGCGGCCTGAGGCGCTCGGTGTGAGGCGCCGGGTGAGGGGTGTGGAGCAGCGTCACGCGCACGCAAGGATGGTTGTGATCCACAAGACCGGTCCAGCTTTAGACGGGGTCCAGAGGTTCAAAAGGCGCAAGAGGTCCAAGAGGCCCAAAAGAGCCAGCACGGCAGAAACACACCGCCCGCCCACTCGCTCGCTCACGAACTCACAATCTCGGTTCGATCTGGCCGATTTGCTGAGGCCCAGTCCCAGTTCCAGTTCCCTCTTTCTTCGGAGGTGGGAGTTGCGGATGATCCCCCGTCGTGGCATTACTCCATCGATTGCACGAGGAGGACAGACCGCGAGACCCAGATCCAGACCCGAGTCCGAGTGCCGCCGGTGCTCTTGTCCTTGCTCCGGAGAACGCAGGAGCCGCACCGCGCAGCACGCCCGACGCGCCGGACGCGCGGTGCAGCGTAGTAGATGTGATGGAGACCCTTCCGACTCGGGGGAAGGGGTCGATCTGATGGGTGTGAATGGTGTGAATGGTGTGAATGGTGCGAGTGGTGCGAGTGGTGCGGGCAAGTGCGAGGGGGAGGGGGAGGGGACGAACCACCCCTGCCGCTCTGCGGAGGACAGCGAGGTCCCGTAGTGGGTTGGCTGGAAAGGCCATGGTGTGGGCGAATGATCCAAGGAGTCTCGACCGGACAAGGCGGCGTCCGTAGGTAGATACTCCACAGGTGATCAGAGGGAAGCGAGACAGAAACAGAAACAAATTCAGATACAGAGATTCAGTCAAATCCGCGTTCCAATAGTTTTCGACGATGACGAAGATCAAAGTGCCGGCCGGTCATGCAGAGTGGAGGCGAACCGAACCGAACCAAGATTCAAGAGGTCCATCTGTCTGCCTGTGTCGACCCGACGCTATGCCCCGGCAACGTCATGCATACAACCTCGCACGTCTCACGCGCGAGTCGGGAGGACTATACAAGTCGCTGTCGCCAAAAGACTTCTTCGCATTCGTACAACGTACAAGTACAACCGTACAGAATTCCCTTCGTTTTCAATTCCCTATTCCATTTCAACCTTCTGTTCATCGTGTCCCCATTCGGCCTTCCCCTCTCACACCAATGCCCCAAACCCAACGCCTTCGAAGCCATACACCAATCCCCAATCCATGCCCGGCACTCCCTTCCGATCAGCTCCTGCTCCGCTGCTCTTTCCCCCGCTCCCGCTGTGAATCGGCTGTATACAACGGTTCGGTTCCCCTCGCTGTCGCGTGCTGGAAGACATTTGTCGTGTTGCTCGTGCCTCGTGCCCGGTCTCGATTGGTCGCGCGGGGACACGCTCGTAATATCGGGTGCGGGGTAATCGGATGGATGATCGTTTGCTTGTTTGTCACGGTGGGCCTGTTGGTGCAGTGTTTGTTGCGCGCTGATCGCGGTGATTGTTTGTGCGGTTATCGGTAATCGGTAAGGTTCTGTTATACAACGTCGTGCGAATGAAGGTGGACCTGTGGAGGTGGGTCTCGATAGAAGTTGCGCCTGAGCTTGTGTCGTTTCGAGTTGAGTCTTGTGCTTGTGTTTGCGGGCTAGCTTGTGGTGAAGTTGTTTACTTGAGTGATTGTTGGCGAGGGATTGGGGTGCGTAGGCTATTCGCCATGTCCGCGTGGACAACGGTGACGGCGACGGCGACGGCTGAGCCTGGCCCACACCTGCGCCGGCGTTCGCACCGGCGCCTAGAAGTGCACCTGGTCTCGGAGGATACGCTCCCCCATCTGCAGTCGGACGTCAGCGCGGCCCGGCTCGGTCGGAGTGGCTTCAAACAGCTGTGAGAGGGTACGAAAAGACCAATTGAAACCGCACGCACCGGACTGACGCCCCGCTTCCTCGCGCCGGTCTCAGAGTACCTCCTGCCCCTCGCGGTCATCCGTGGCTTGAGGCCCTCGTCGACCGCATGGTGCACGGGCGGAGGCGGGGGAATGGCGCTCTGCGCTGGCGCAGAGGCTGCGGGGGCGGCCGTGGGCATGGAGGCGTGCGGGGGCGAGGGCGGGAGGGCGCTCGAGCCCGAAGGAGGGGAGAGGAAGGGGGACTGCAAGGTCAGCGGGTTATTTCTAAACCAATCACACAATGTGGAGCGCGAGGGCTGGTTCCCTGTGTACACAAGTGGATCCGAGTTTGTGGAACCAGAAAAGGTGTGAGGTGGTGTAGTGCGATGTGGCGATGTGGTGATGTAGCGATGGGTGAGAATGCATTTCGACCCCGCCCCACTCACTCGTGCGAATCCGCCACCGATGCTGAAGCGGCGGAGCAACCCTTGACCCTTGGCCGTCTTGTCCGCGAGTACTCCACCCTGTGGCATACTCGCCGGAGGGCTGATCCCATTCTGGCCGTGTCCCGTCCCGCTGCCGGGCGAGAACCCAATCGGGCTGGTCACCTCTCCGTGCTGCACCTGCCCCACGCCCGAAGCAGCGGAAGTGCTTCCGAACCCCCTTAGCATGCTCGTGATCCCACTAGCACTTTGGCCCGAGGCCATCGACATGGACACTGCGCGCCTGTTGGCAGTGGCGGTTGCGCCCGTCCACGACTTGTTCTTCATGTCCCCGAGATCGCCGAATTCGAAGGCGTCGTGCCTCTCGTGGGCGTGGTGGTCGTCTTCGTCCATGACGATTGCGCTCGCCGGCATGGAAGCGGAGGATTGGTGCTGGTGCGACTGGGACGGGAGCTGGAGGTGGGGGATCTCGAATCCCTTGGTGGAAGACAGCGGGGGTGATACGGGGGATTTACCCAGTGAGAAGCCAGATGCCCACTTGATGAAACCCGATTGGGTAGGCGTCGCCGAGGATCCGAGGGGCGAGAGAGGCGCGCCGGGAGGGGGGAAGAAGGGGGTCTGAGGCGAGATGGAGAGAGAGGAAGAAGGAGAGTGGGCGGATCCGGGCGGATGGGCCGGGAGGGGGAGCTTGTCAAAAGTAGGGTGCGAGACTCGACGGGTGTCGGGAGGGGTCGTCGGCTGGTTCGTGCTGATGGGAATGGGCGACGACATCGAGGTGCAAGGTGCAAGGTGGGTTTGGGTGTTGGGCGACGGCGCGGTCGGCGGACGGTGGACGGTGGACGGTGACGGGCGCTCCGGAGTTGTGCCGAAAGACGACGACGCAAGCCTGCAGCGAGTCAGTCCGAGTTGGTGGGGAGACGAGACGAGTCGGCGTTGTTGGGGGTGGACGGACACGGCGAGCGCCAACGCACTTACGCTATCCTATGAGAAACGATCTGAAGACGCTGATCAGACAGGTTGGGACGATGCCGAGTTTGCCGCAGGTGGCGAGGAGTGGGGCAGGTGGGTCGTGCCAGTGAACCAAAAGAGACCGGAAGGGCGGATGGGGCGGGTCTTGAGCTCTGCATCGCATCGGAGTCAGCGACGACTCGTATCAACCCGTGCGAAGCATCGCTCACCCTTGCTTCGCGCGTATAAAGGTGAGGCCGAGACGAGAAGAGAGACAGAGATGTGAACAGGAATCGATCCTTTGTGGGAGGGATCGCGGTTGGGTTGGGGATGACTGTGCTGGGTGTCAGGTGGAGCGATGGGATAGCGTGGGAACCGCCAAAGGACGCTCTGTGTTTCTGTGGGGGAGCTTGTCTCAGCGAGGGGTGGGCCGGGCGATGGGAACGATGCGATGAGCTCGTGCAGTGGTGTAGTGATGCGATGGATGGAACGGACTGGGATAGCTGGGGGATGGGGAGATGAGCGGTTGTATATATATCCTGTGGGGTGGATGAGTTTGTGGGTGCGGCACAGTCAGCGTCGGCTCGGCCAGTCTAATTCCTATTAGGAAAGGGCTCGGCCTAGTCGTGGCTCGGCCCCCGCCCCCACACGTCTCCCCGTTCCAACCCCAAATCACCCCGCGCCCTTGCCGCCCTGGACCCTGAGCCCGACCCTGCATCAATGGCCAGGTGCCACTTTCGATCCATCCGGCCCCCGGCCGCGGCAGCGCCGGGGGGTCGGGGCTTACTTAAGCTGGCACTGGCGTAATGTCGCGGTGGCAGGGGCAGGGCACCTTTCACCCAGATCCGAGTCGTCGGCGAAGTTGCAAGATATCACCCCGGATCACACACCCCAAGTCAGCTTTGTCAAGGTTTGTGATCCCTGATGGCGTCGCCTCATCCTGGGTGATGTCGGCTAAGCTGGATATGGGGACGTCGCTCCGTGGCGGAGTGCTATTACACTGTAAATACCGCGGTGAACCAAGTTTGGCTGGAGCCGGCTCATCCTTCGCCAACACCTTCGACGATACGCCGGTCTACTTACAGCACGAGTACGTGCACAGCATCAAGTTCGGAGATAATCCACTGCATCGCTCCATATCGGTATCGTTCCGCACGGCTCCTAGATCCTCTGGGCTCCTCGACGCGCTTCCTAGTGGCCCCTTCCTCAATGTTGGGAACGAACAACAGCCTTGTCGCGGTCCGCGACCGAGTCGACGGGCAGGATCAACTGTGACGAATGTTGAAAGAGTGTGGATCGAACACGATGAGAGCGCACGGACATGGGAATGGGCATGGGCATGCGGACAGACGAGGGGATGAGCCGAGGCCGAGGATTAGTGCAGACGAAACCCTATCCCGGGCCGGACCCCGACGCACCACCTGCGCTGTTGGTTTCTGTCTGCTCCACGGTGACTTGCGCGCCGGATCGTCAAAACAAGAAAGCAGGGTCCGACTTGCCGAGAGCCTGACTATAGAGTCGGTCGCATTGGAATTGCGACTGCAACTGCAACTGGAAATGCGGCTGCGACTGCTGCACTGAGCAAATCTGCGCTTGTTTCATGGGATTGCTGTACACATACCCTTGCTTAACCAAACAGTATCTCGTTGTCATGGCCTAAGACTATATCCGCCGGTGGTACGTATGGCTGGTTTGGAGACGAGGATTGCGTCTCCGGTCGATGGAAGAGCCATCCCGTATATAAGTATCGCTCTGTAGATACTTGGATCCT